CTGAGGCTGATGTTGACTTGAATGATGTGTTGGTTGCTGCTCATACTGCTGCTGAAACGGCTGAACGTGCTGCAGCAGCAGCTCGCTCAGCAGCTACTCTTGCGCAAATTCGCATTAACGAGCTTACCAAGAAAAGTGGTGAAAATGTACCAGACGGTAGTTCTGAGAACCCATTTTATACAGGAAACAATATAAATCAGTCCAGAACACCAGAAACAGGGAATTATACTGAGCAAAAAGCTGTGGATGACTACAATGGTCATGGCGCAAGTAGTTATGAGTCCCCCAATCATCAGAATGCCGCCCCTGGTTCTGATTCATCGAGATTTACTTCATTTGACACACTAAAGCCAGACCTTGATTCTTGTCTACCAGAAGACAAAACATCTGGCCACCAGCCCAAGAGATTACCTTCAATGGATGAGGACCCATATTTCTCGTACCCCAACTTATTTACCTCACAAAACTCAAATGCTGGATCTCTCACTCAATTAGATAATACCAGATCCCATCATGAATTCTGACAGGTCCTTGATATGTATGAGATCTTCCTTGTGAATGAGTTTCGACAGTGCTGTAGAGTTGTGGTGTAGTTTTTGCTGTGCATGCAGTTTCCGGTTTATACCATATTCCGCATCCTTCGTACCTATATTCTGCATTCAGTGAAAATTTTGAATTTATATTATGAAGCCTTCTTTCCTGTTGGTGCTGAATTTGTTGATGGTGAGTGAGGCGACAATGATTGTAAAAATTCTTAGTGTTGGGAATAAAAGGTTCTCATTTTCAGTTCTGTTTATGTTTAAATTTCTTAGTTGTTTTAGCACCTTGATGTTTGTGTTGGCAGTGGATTACAGTGGGGAAGGTGAATCATGTATTTTTTTTCACTGGATTTTTATGGTCCGTTTGGTTCATGGGATCAATATGCACGTAATAATTGAGAATGCAATGTAGTGTAATTATGATTATAATAAAGTTGTTTGCTACAATATTGAGAATGATAAAATTAAATTTATTATTTATGTTTAATTAAATACAAATAAAATCAAAATTACAAAAAAGCCCTTACACAAATAATTTTTTTTTTTTTATTTACTGCTTCCCTCATCTTTCTTGTCCACTGATACAATACTAACCCATCACTGTTGGTCTTCATTCACCGTCATCCTTCCTCCAAAATGATCATTCCTCACCCCACATGTTCTATTCCAGGTGCGTCACATAAGTAGAATCACCACTCTCACAAGTTAGAAACGGAAAACATCCCCTTCCAAAAAAATCCTTACACCTGACTTCTTTCACTTCCAAGTGCGTCATCCCTCCCTCTCCCATTAGCTTCATTGTTGGATGATCAAAGTCTCACCAACCTTCCTCACTGCCAACACTCCTTGCACAAGATTAGATCTACGTTCACTATCGGATGTCTAGATTCTTGTCACCGACCTTCATCACAATTACGCCTAATGCTCTGTTATGCCGTTGCCTTTTGTTCCAACCCTACCTCCATCCCTCTCTTCTACTTCCGCCATAGCCCATGATTCCTGGCAATGAGGATTTCCTTCTCTACCTTATCTTCATCATCTCCGGTGAAGATTATTCCAATCCTATTTTCATTGCTTGTATCTTTGTTTTCATATTTTTGTTTTTACTTTTTGCTAGCACTAGTTCATTTTTCATTTTCATCCTCATGATGATGAAGTGAACAGGGAAGATGAAGTTATTCACTTGACAAAGGGGTGTCCTCAACATAGGGAAGCCCACTGGTGGAGGAGGGTTGGTAGTGGTCAACGAAGATGATGAAGAAGGAAAGGGCAAATGTTGTCTTTTTTGGATTACAACATGTTATAATCCCCATTCTTTACTATTATGGATGTAATCCCCTTTACCACCTAAATGTACAAACCAAAAGCTTGAAAGAGGCTATTGTATTAGGATTACAGGGAATGCTAATGCAATGCATCGAACCAAACGGGCACTTATAGTCTTCAATTAAAAAATAAGTCCATTTGATACAAGAGAATTGAGATTAAAATTACATTATTACATAGCTTTAGGGTCCGTTTGGTTCCTACCATCCTGGCCAGTGGAATGGAAATATGGTTTCTAGCTTTACTCTTTGATGATATGGCTTGTTTGGTTGCCTTCAGTAGAGAATCAAGAAAGCATTTAATTGCAACCTCACACAATTCAAATATGGTCTGTTAAAAGAAGTTAACAAACACCATGATATTATTTTTCAATTATATTCATCATCTTGATCTTTTAGTGCATTCAATATTGATATTATTTGTGTTCCCTTTTAGCACTCTAATTTTATTTATAATACATTTGGTGACCTAAACTATAAATAAAATTAGAATGTTAAATATAACTAAACAATAAAATTAAGAAGCACTAGACACACTAGAAAAATAACATCAGGATGCTGCACACTATAAATAAAAGTAGAATGTTAAATGCTATTAAAAATTATTATTATTTTTTGGCCAAAAAAGAATTATTATTAGAGTGTTGGATGTTATTTTATTATTATCAAAAACACAAAATCTTCTAAGGTTAAAATGAATATCGATATCAATGCATCTTGTAAAACCTACTGGTAATTGTACTATTTTTAAATTATAAACAATGTAGCTTTATTTTTTAGCCTAATGTAGCTTATTGATAATAAAAAATAAAAAATATTGTAATATCTTTCAACATACAAGGAAGTTTGTTTAGTTAAATTTTAAGATCTAACCATTTTCCGCGGCAAAATTTAAGCCTACCAATATACTAGCATGTATATTTGCCATTAAGCCTACCAATATAATGTGATAGATTTGTGATAATTTTGTTAATCAAAATTATTGTTGGAAATGACTTTACAAACTCAGGTAAAGGATGATTAATTATAAAAGTAAAATTATGATTATCTCATAAATCATTATTACTAGTTTTTATAATTGATTTTGTCATGCGTAAAGCGTTTGGTAACCTTAAGAGATAATTATAATTTTGAGTTCATGATTAATTTTGGCATATAAATGAAGGATAAGGTTATACAAAGTTAGAAGTTCTTACTTGTAATAATGAATGATGCAGTGGTCAAATTTAGTACATATCAATTAAAAAATAAAAATAATTATTTTTAACAAAACCAAGTCATTGCTAAAAGAACAAAATTAAGTAGCTTCACGAAATTTATAATAAAAATTCTGTTAATTACTACTTCCGGTCCTATTTATAAAATCTAGTTGACTAATTTGAAGAGATTAAGAAAAGAAGTTAGTTAGTTATTTATAATAAATATGTGTTGTCTTTCCTAAAATATTTTTACTAATCAAGTGTATTGACTATAACTACTATTGTTGGAAGGACTATCTTGAAAAAAATTATATAAATATGAGAAACAAAGTGAGTTGGAATTTTATATTTAGGATCAAAATAAAAGTCAAATAAGGTCTTATATTAAGAACCGGAGGTAGTATGTCTTAACATTATATTATTACAATTTTATTTTTATATGTAAGTTACTTATATAAAAAGAGTTTATTACTGTATATTAGTTACTTGTAAGGTAATTAATGATTTTTTTTTTCAATCTTAACCCTATTAGATTCAACAGAGAAAATAAGTCAAAGAAAATGTACAACATGTTTTTCTTGAACGCCTTTTTTTAATAGGAATAAGTGGGAAATTTTTTTTATCAATTTAATATATTTTTTAATATGCGAGGATGTGATACTCAATGCTAGTTAAAAATTTTAACTTGATATATATTACCTCTTGTCTTTAATATAAGTACTAATTTGATATTTAATTTAATCCTAAATATAAGATTTTAATTTATTTTGTCTCTCATATCTATCCATTTTTTTCAACTAATATACATAGGGGTATTCTAAAAATAATAATACTTATTTATTATAAATAATTCGTTTAATAAATTTTTTAATCTATTTAAATTAGTTAATTAATTTTTATATTAAGATGGTAGTATTTTATTTTATGCTGGGATGAGAAGATGAGGAACTGTATCTGTTGAAATTGCCAGTAACAATGGGAACCCACATTAATGATAAGGTGGGCTCCGTGAACGTCTATTCACTATTTCACTGTCGAAAAAAGATGAATGTCCATTCATTTTGTTCTCTCTTTTTGGTTTTCTGAGTCAGTATTTTTAATATTATTTTATTGATGCATAAATCAAACCAAATCAAATAATAATATCAAATAACGCGTTGAAACTTGAGAAACACTCCCACCTACAATAACGGTTAGTGCGCGCCGCTCCTAGGTCGGCGATAATACTCCATGTCTACATCAACACTCTTTTTCCTTTTTCCAACATCCAAACACCCCAAAAAAAAAACAACACTTACTATTTTCTTTTGCATTTTTTTTTTGGTATTCTTGTCGTAATTTCTTATTATTTAATAACCTTATGAGCAAAAAGTTTTATAAAATAGCTAAATTTACTTCTAATGAAAGCACATTTTTCATATAAAAATGTTTATCTGAACCACAAAAGGATACTGCGGTGCATAAATCTGGGGCCCATTTATATTTTGAAAGAAAATATGTCTTTTTCCGGATTAAAAAAAATGTTTTTAATAGAACATAATATTTCATGTCATATAATTTTCTCTAAAACTCCCTTGGCATTAGACCTAAATTATGTGGAAGATCGCCTTCTATTTCATTAGACCACTTCATGAGCAAGAATCATCCACTTGCTTGGATACCAATTGATCATGAAAAGGAAATAAGAAAATACTCTTTGTAGTCTTTTTATTGTCTAAAAATTTGTAACTAGATCCTCTGAATTGATAAAAGCTTTTATTCAACCCTGATGAAAAAAAAATATTGAATTTTCAAATTTTATTATACAATTTATATATTAACCGAACATTTTAAATAGATATGACTAAAAAATGATAAAAATTTATAGTTTGCACATACAACAAAATAACACAGAATAGGAGCAAAGATTAAATTAAGAATATTTTGAACTAAAAGAATAAATTTTTAAAATATAAAAATTAACTTAACAATCATAATCTCCAAATAGAAGTCAAGTCAGACATGGTGTAAAGATTAAGCTACCATTGTTTCATCAAGTAAACACCACTTTGTCAAACTGCACAAGATGATACAAATAGCAACTGACAAAGCAGTCCCTATGCACAAATGTAAATGAATATAATGCATTGAACTTACAGGAGATCAGATATAATCAGATTATGGTACGCCATGAGAAAGCAAAGAGGAGGAATCAAAAAATAAGTAAAAGAGAACTTTATAGTTAAAAAAGGGGGGAAAAGCCATAATAATTCTTCTTCTCTGTCACTTTCTACTGTGCCAAAGTCACCTAGGACCTGATAACTCAACTGCATGTAAATTCTCAGTCGAATCAACAATCCAATCAGAATTGGGATGAGGGGCCAGCTCCACCTCCTGCCGAAGAACTTCAACCTTCTGCCACTCATCCCATTTCTCCGCCAGGCCATCACCTTCAAGCATTCTCACCACGTCTGACATCTTAGGCCGTTCCATAGGTGAGCCCTGAGTGCAGAGAAGGGCAACCTGGATGAGCTGTTCTACCTCAGCTTCTACATAGTTCTTCTGTAGATCAGGATCAACCAGCATCTCTAGCTTCTTCTCTTTAAGAAGGCTTTTTACCTGAAAATGTTCAGCGGTGTCAGTTTGGATGTCATCAGTGAAAATGTAAATTTTCCAAATCGCTCTTGTATCTTTCTACCAAACCAGAAGCTGTATCAATAATAGTGGATGATGACATCTACTAAGGGGAACTAAGTTGGAAATTCATGTTCTATCTGCATATGTTACGTGGTTGGCCCAAACAAGAAGTGAAATCAAATGTAATATTCGAGGGGCTTGCAAACTTCTAGTGTCGAATCAACCAATATCATAAAAAGGGAAAAGGCTTTCCCTCCCTCCTTTTACCATTTGTGTGCATTAACACCATGCCCAAGACAAAATTATAGGAAGAGCAAATACAGAATACAGTAATTATAGCATTAAATTTACAGCAAGGGAAAAATATAATTAATTAAAACAGGATTTATTTTGCGGTGAACATACCCAATCAAGCAACATGACGTCGTCATCATTTGCAAGCCGAGCAAGGTCAAAAGCTCTTTGTCCAGTTATGAGCTCCAGAAGCATAATACCATACCCAAAAACATCGGTTTTCTCAGAAGACTTCCCAGTTGACAGGTACTCAGGAGCTATGTGCCCAATTGTGCCCCGTACAGCAGTTGTGACATGGGTGTCCTTGTAATCCATAAGCTTTGCCAGCCCAAAGTCACCAACAACAGCCTCAAACTCTTCATCTAACAATATGTTTGCAGCTTTAACATCTCGATGTATAATCTTTGGGTCACAATGATCATGCAAATATGAAAGACCCCTGGCAGATCCCAAAGCAATTCGCTTCCTTGCTGGCCAATCTAGTGGCTGTTGATTTGCTGGACGCTCTTAAATAATATAAATACAAAGTCACAAGGCTATCTCAACATATAAGTCATAAATCATAGACTTTTTTGATAAATGATTGGTAAAACTGGTCCATTCTATTCTTTATTTCTAAAAACAAGTGCTGTTTAAGCTGCAGTTAAAGCAACTACAATTTGCATAACTTAGCATTGCTTAATATATTTTTATTTTCTTCCACAAAATGTCTGCATGAGATTTATTTGGCAGTAAAAGCTGACACTAGATTGAAAAAGAAAGGTCCCTGTTGGGATGTTGAAGCATGGAAATAACAATAATCAACCTGATTTCGAGCAATACACAAAGACATTGCAGGAAGCTAAAGGTCTCCCTAAAGTTTAAGCCGCAGGTGCACAACCCTTAAGGATTTATACAAAAGCGGACTAAATGTTAAATGAGAAAAGGTTATCCCTTAATTCATACAGTTAACATCATTTAAACGCATACCGATACAAAGAAAAAGGGGTGTAGAAACAGAAGGCAGAGGTCTATATATGTATATGGAAAATGAGAGAATTAGCCAACAATATAAAAGTGATCAACTGCTGAAAAAAACAGAAGGTGGCAAATGATCAACACACCAGTCGATCAAATTTCATTAAAACCTCCGGTCAAAGTCACTCCATAGCAAGAAGTTAAAAGAAGTGCTTCAATAATTTCCATGCCCATTGGCTTAACAAGACTAAGGAGAACAAATATGGAAAATATTTACCTCTTAAGCATGATGCAACACTTCCATTTGCCATATAGGGATAAACAAGTAACCTCTCAGTAGGTGTCATACAGAACCCACGTAAACGGAGAAGATTGCGATGCACGGCCATGCTGATCATTTCTACTTCAGTCTGAAACTGAAGCTCCCCACCAGGTGTGCGCTCCTCTTTCAGTCTTTTTACAGCAACCAATGAACCATCTGCCAAGCGTCCCTTGTACACTTTACCAAACCCGCCCCTTCCAAGAATATTCTTATTGCTGAAACTATCTGTGGCAACTTGCAGTTCTCGTAGTGAAAACCTCTTAAGCTGTCCCAGATGGACTTCAGGATCCTCTTCAGCTGCAAACAAACACAAAGAAGTCAAAATCATCCAATTAATATTTATTATTGACCAAATGTGTATAATTAATGAGATAAACCAATCTCAGCCATGTTTTCTCACCAGGAACATCAAAGAAAAACTCTTGTGGTTTCCTTCGTCGCCACCATGCAAATGCAATTGCAGGAGCGGCAAATAACAGGGCAGCACCAGCAGCAACTCCCCCAGCAATTGCCCCAGTGGCACCACCGTCTCCTGAAATTTCCATAAACAGAAAAATCAAGACATAAGTGCTTCTTTCATCACTCATAAAAGTTCCACTACCAAGGCATTGTCACAGCTGAGAAATTCATCCTAAAACTTCTGAAAGCTGGAGAAATATAATTCTTCATGTCTAGAAGATATCAGAACATAAGCCATTAGAATGTATAAATAAGGTAGACATATAAACTCTAAATTTTAAGCCAAAAACAATAGGAATTTTACCTGGGGCAGAAATTGGGCTTGGCGGGGCAAAAGGGGGAGGAGGAGAAAATGGCGGAGATCCTGGACAAGGATGCCCAGTGACTGGCCCACATAAACCCAAATTGTTAGCAAAACTGCAAGCAGACACGCAGTTGATTAAGCAAAGTTTACAAATTAAAATTATCAAATTAAGTTAGAGGTCAATGCTTAATGAAGCACCTGATTGGAGTGAATAATGAGAAGGAGCCATTATCAGGAACCACACCAGACAGATGGTTATTTGATAAATCCCTGCATTTTGAAGTATAAATGGCGAACAGAACATTAGCAGTTCTCAAAAGTGGGGAAGAAACAGCACATGTTGAGGCAAAATGGCACTCACAGGACTTGGAGAGATGAAATATTAGTCAGCGACATAGGAATTGGACCCGTCAAGCTGTTATTGTTAAGCCGACTATCCTTAGACAAACGTCAAGAAAGTATTAAGATCTATATTAACACAAAATAGAAGAAAGATAAAAGTCACAGACTGAAATCCAATGCAACAAAACAATCGTTTGCCTCAATAGAGAAATTATAATTTATACCAAAGTAACATAGCAAACCCCTAACCATCATTTGCTCCCATTATTATTCTCATAGCAAAGCCTTGTGTTAGCTAATCATATCAAGAAAAAGGCAAACGCACAAGCTCAAATAATTGCCATATTTAATCTTCTACGTGCATATAAGTGATAAGTCAACGCAAAGTCTCAATAGCCATTTAGAACCACGGGTGTTCTGAGTGACAGTTACATTTCTCTCAAGACTGTTGGATATAAAAATTGTGCTTCTACTGATTCATTCAAACTCCCAAATATAAATGCTAAAGCACATTTGATTTTAAAGACTTCAGTTTATTCTAGAATCTAACATAAAGCAAATAATTAGCTTTAATGCAGCACTGTTATACTGTTGGATCTAGTAGTCTACAGAGTCGACTTCCCTTTGCTAAATTTGTTGTAGTCAATGAACCCACATTCAACATTAGACAATTTGAGATTAACAAGATGCCATTTTACATACTTATCATCCCACACAAACCAGTGATATAAACAAAAGTAGCAATGTTCCTTGTACAAACAAAATGAAATTTGGAACGAGATAAATTCTTCAGAAGGACCACCACACCATAGGTGTCAGAAAAATAATGCGAACGATGAGTATACTCACAGGAAACGCAATTTTGACAACTTGCCCAATGAATCTGGGATAGGACCAGAGAAGCTGTTTAAGTACAGATCCAAGCTCACCAGGTTAGTAAGATTACCCAGGTCGCTTGGAATTGGACCGGTAATGTTATTGCTGTAAAGTTCCCTGTTATGAAAAATGTACATTAAAAAATTATGGAAATATTGGATTGCAATGTCATTATTTAGAAAATACTCAAATGAGAATAATCCAAAAGTGGCATGTTCATTGTTCCATAACTTCAACAATTTTTATGTTCAAAAACATTTGTTACATCATGGGAGAATATTCAAGCGTCAAAAAAGGAAGAAAGAAGACTTTTAACGCCCCAAAATGAAACAATGTAACATGGATGACTTCACTACCGAGCCTGTAAATTCATTAAACAATAAACAAGAAAAGAAAAGAAGATGAAAACATCAAAGAATCAAGGCATGAGATAACATACAAATACTGCAAGTTCTTGAGCAGGCCTAGTTGCGGAACAAGCTGACCAGACAAAGCAGCATTTCCTAGATCACTGTCATCAGGAGCGTGAAAAAAAATAAAAACACAAGGCAACATTAGAAAAAGCATCTTTAGTGACAATGCTTTGAACCAGATGTCAGATACAGAATGGGCATATAAGTGATAAATATCAAGGACAGAAAGCTTACACTCTTATTACACTATTATCATTGTTGCAAGTTACATGAAACCATGTGCATGGATTGACAAGTGTAGGATCCCAACTTGACAAAACATTGTTAGGATCCTGCAAATTTGTCCTCAGACTATGCAAAGCATCACCTGTATCAAAATACAAGAACAAAGAATCAGCTTTGGGCTGCAAGCTACAAATGTTAGGCATTGCAAACTCAGAAATAAACCGCATCACATTGATTTAAACGATACATTTCAAGCACAAAAACAAGTTTCCCAGCACTTGAATTACACGAATCAGTAAACGGAGATCTAATCTTCGGTGATGTACTAGACACACGTGCGAAGAAAAAAAAAATCGATTTCATAAAGTAACAGGGATTAAGGATTCAGTATGCTGTACAGATAAACATTGAATCAGGAGAGTCTGGTAGAAGCAATGCCACGATTTACCCTGTTCATTCCACGTGGCATCATTGCTTGGTTTACATTGCCGCAGGGCATCATAAACCTTAGTAAGAGCATCTGATAAGCCATCCAGCAGTAAGAGTTTCTCTACAAACGTACTCCAGGAGAATCCCATAATACCATAGGAAAAATGAACTACAATAGGGATGAAATATCACTAGAAGATACTCCATCTGATCGCTTCTCCCACAATTTTCTCCTTTTGTCCCAAACCAAAGGAAAAGAGATATAAAGATCACAATGAAACAACCAAGAACGCACCAAGGCTGTCTGGAAAATGGTATCAACCTGAGTTGCGTATAAACTTCCGAGGGGAAAAGAAACCCGATCACCCCAAGTCAATACAATCAAAGAAGCAACCAGCAAAATCTCAAACAAAGTTTGAAGATATTCCTTTTTGTTGAGAGAGTAGGAAAGGAAATGAATGAATGAGCTCAAAAGCTAAAAGAAATCCATACATACCTTCCATGTTAGCAGAAATCAGCCATACAGAGTGAACTATCACGACCAACCAGAAAATAGCTGGAGTCCACACCTTCGTCTCCATCTAAGTAGCCAAAAATCGCAGATCCGAATGATATCTCGCCCCACAATACACCATCACAGAACAACTCTCCTCCAAACTCTAACAAACCCAAACAACTCAATACCATAACTTCCGAAATCTTACATATTAACCTCCCAAGTCTCCACCATTACGGCCCAGGAACAAACTCAAAGCCTTAAAAGCCGATCTCATCCAAATATGCCTTCTAGAACAACCCAGAAAATCCGAACTGAAAAAATCCTCTAAAAAGTAAAAAATCAGAAGAAATTCATAACATTTCCCCCTCCTTCTTCCCGACTTTCCTCTCTTCGCCGAGCAAATCTCTCGCAACTCCCAACCAGTTCAGTGTGACGTAGTTTTGTGTGCGCGTTTTTGAGTGAGGCGTGCACAGAGAAGAGTGAATAGAAGAGACATAGAGAGAGAGAAATGGAGGCTGCCCAAACGGTGCTGCCCGCTGCCCAAACGCAGTCAAAACGCCCTCCCGCTATATTGTGGAAAGTGACGTGACCCACAGGAGGCAGGGGGCAAAACCCCGTTTCGAGTCAAAGCGAGCGTGGGAGTCTAGTGGGCCCCACTGCCCCACAAACCCATTTTCCGTTGCCACGTCAGATGGGCCCACATTTTTCAAAAAGGGTTTGCCAACTTCCCAAAGAAAATATCGACTCTTTTTTTTTAAACAAAAAAGAAAATATCAACTCTATTTACTCCATAGCAACCTATGGAAGGCTATTATTGGTAAGTGCTTTCTTAAACGCTTTCTCAAAAACTTTAAATTTTTTTATTGTTAAAAAGTGATCAAGTGGTTTTAATTTGTCCCTCCCTTTCTCTGTGTGTGTATAAATCAAACTCTATAGATAGGGAAATGTAGTGTCATTGTCAACAAAGATTAGGGATATTGATTAAGAAACAAATTAATGGGCCTATGTAATTGTAAAGTTGTGAATTTAGAATAATTTTGGACCCCACACCATCTCATCATATATTTTCCTTCTTGTCATGTTTTAGTGTTTTCATGAATGAATGAATTTATGTCACTAAATCTTGATTTCCAAATTCAATGAAGTAAACTCTCCATCTATAAATTGGCCTTACTAAATATTGTAAAGATGTTCTCAAGTCATTTCTTGAAGTGGAAAATCACTTTTTACGTATTACTTCGAATGCTTAATATAAAAGCTAATTAGGTATTAAATTTAGTCCAAAATATAAGATTTTAATATATTTTATACCCTAAATCTATAATATTTTATTTAAAATATCTTTATTAATTGTAAAGGCTCCATTCAATGAATAGTTCCAATACACATAATCAAATATGATACTTAAAACAAATCAACACATTTGTGATAAACAATCAACTTAACTAATACTTTCAATCTCTTCAAATTAATTATGCAGTTCTTATATTAAGAACTAGAAGTAGCATATATTTTTTTGGATCTTTCTTATAAGGGCGTTTAATTCATACATATTGATACAGCTAATTAAAATTAGGTACTCTCATTAAATATATTCATATTTTCAAAAAAATTTCAAAATTATCACTGTCTATATATAATTAAGAGTATTTAGGAAAAACAATCAATTAATGCTTTTATAAACATGTAAAGTCCCTTGAAAAAAGGATCAAGAAAATCTTTTAGAAAGTTTCCCATAAAAAGAACTGGCAGAGGAACCATGATAAGATGACTATAATTTTGAAAATGTTATGGTGTCATACATTAAAGTTAAAGTCTAAATCTATGAGCTACAACTAAAGATGTTTTCATTTGGCCGGGAAAAAAAAAAAAAAAAAGCAAAGATGTTTTCAGAGCTCATACAAAACTCAGGATAATATAGAGCCCTATTCAAATGACTAATTAGTTATAATAGATTTTCGGAACGTTTAAACTGACGCCTCTTTTATGAGATTTTGTTGAAGCTCTTGATAGCAATGGCATCAATATTTTCTACTAGTTTGGTTTTTAATATAAGGTCTAATTTTGTATTTTAGTTTAAAATATAAATTAAATCTTATTAAGATCATAAATAGTAAGTTGTAAAGATACCACAATTAAAATTGAACCTGCAATTAAATACGTGCGTAAATCGATCTTCGTATCTAGAACGAAGGAATAATGTGTGCGTGTGACAGAAAAAATCAAATGTGATTTTGACCAAAGGCAGCGAATTTTAAAATTCATGTAATGAACACTTGCACACCATTTGGTTATTAACAAGTACTGCAGATTCAAGAATGAGCAAGGGGGCGCTTCCTCCTAATGGTTCTAATCATAATAAATATTCATAGGCTTGTTAGAGAAAAAAAAAAAGTTGAAATCAGCCCCTTATTTTAGGGTTTATTTGTATACAACTTTTTAAGTGTTTATAAACACTTTTATATAAACTAAGTAGTTATTTTGTATTTCATAAATCATGATTAAAAAATTGTTATTAAAGGCTCCAATCACCATTCCAAGCAAGCTCTTAATTTATTTCAAATTTCATTCCTAATTTTGCTTTGTCTTGACTACAATCAACTAATTCAATAAAAAGGAAGATAATTCGCATGAAAGTAAGCATAAATTAGTTGAAATGGTTCCAAAGTCCAATCAGTTAATTCAATGCTGATCTAGTAGTGTTTCACATCATTCAATTAATTAGTACTCCTCCGGTCCTAAATATAGAATGTATTTTGTAGTGTAATTTATATTATAAAATGAGTTTATATTTAAAACCAAAGGAGTATTATTCTAGTTCTAGAGTAATCGATTATTGTAAAGAAAATCAACTACTACTTTGACACACACATATACTATTTCCAGTTCTTAATATAAGAACTTGTTTGGCTTTTATTTTGATCTTAAATATAAGATCTCAATTTATTTTGTCTCTCATAGTTATCTATTTTTCCCAATATAGTTCTTATAATAATTATAATTATAACCAATACACTTACTAGTAAGAATATTTTAAAAAAAATAATATTTATTTATTACAAATAACTAATTTTTTTAATCTATTTAAATTTGTCAACTAGCTCTTGCTAATATATATTATATGCATACTTGAATGAAAATCGAGTCAAGCCTTGCCTTACCTTTATGCCTAACTCAAAATGCCTCTCGAGGTAAACTTTTGACCCAATACTTGGCTAAGAAGGTCATCGCAATGCATGGGAGAGTTGGTGTGATGAAAAGAAATTAAAAATTAATTTTATTTATTAATCTTTTTTAATAAAGAAGGAATAATTTTATTTAAGATTAAGGTGTAAATTTACTTTAAAAGTTTTCACCAATAAGTATTAAGTACCTGAAAGTTTTTTCAAGTGTAAATTTATCTCAAAATTTTAAAATTGTAATAATTTTACCTCATAACATTAAAAATACTAACAGTTAATGTCACTATTTTAATGATCAATGAAATTGTTATAATTTAAAACTTTTAAAGCAAATTCGCATTTAAAAATTTTTTGGGTGCTAGTGCTCCTAAGTAAAGACTTTTGGGATAAAATCGCACTTCAACGGTTTTATTTATAACATCAATATGTTACAATTTTTTTTAATATGTAGTCATAATTCTATTTATGATCAAAAGTATAATTCCATTGATCCAAAATATTATTTACTATCCTTAATATAAAAACAAGTTAAAGATTCAATTTGATCCTAAATATGAGACATCATTTTATTTTGTTTCTAATATTTATCCATTTTATTTCTAAATAATGTCTATAGTAATTGCATATGTGTAGGAGTTTTCATCATGTGGTACTTCTAATGCACATGATTAATAGAAGTATTTTAGGGGGGGAAAACAACATTAATTCATTATAAATAATTAACTAACTAATTTTTTTTAATTTTTTATAAATCAATTATCTAACTCTTATAATAAAGACCCAAGGTAATATATTCCTTGAAACCAAGATTTAGATCAAAACTAACACTCTTTAGAATCATAAACATGCAATACTTAGCTTGTACCTTTTTACATACTAATAAGCTAAGAAATTTTCAAAGATTGAAATAATAAATAATCTTCACAAGAATTATAAAATTAGTTTATTGAATGAGATGTATGAAGAATAATAGCAGTCACATAAATCAATCAATGTTCATCATTTTTTTAGGAAAAGAATTGGAATAGGTGAATGTCTCGTCTAATACTGGACTCAACTCAGTGTGTTCTTTTAATTTTTTTTCCTCTTTTATTATGAGTCGAATTAGGTTCGCCAAGCCAACTAAGCCTATCAACATCCCACAAGAATCAAAATTTCCACTTATTATATCTAATCAGTATTCTTATAAATTATTAAAAGACTTTGAATTTGAATTGATATTAACATCAATTAAATTAAACTTTGTTATCATTAAAGTAATATGAAAGATCATAGGTAAAATTTCACAAAAAGAATCTAAAAATTACTCCATTACTATATTTGACTTACATGCATCAATTCTCTTCTCTGCCAGCAAATATTGAATATCATAATTTTGGTGGGGATGATTCCTTTCCAAATAGTAGTTGACTATATTGACATTCTCTTTTGTTGATACTTTTTATTTGTTGGGTGAAGAGACAGAATGACACAAAGTGGGGGCTCTTCCACTAGGGATCATTATTGAGCATGACCAAGCCTGCGTTCTTATGCATTCCCTTTTCCCAATTCTTCATAGACAGATTCTTTAATTAGGAATAAAACCTCAAACGTGATTTTGTAATCACACTAATGTTTTCAAACGCACACTTGTGTGGCCCTTAGGAAATTAAGTTCTTAGTAGCCATAGGCCTTTTATCATATCATGACTATGTGCCTCATCTTTTCACGTTTTCTATGTATACATAGGAGAGATTATCAAATTTGGATTCTACCCTTGTCTTTCTTTTTTCCTTTTTCTTCTCCTCATCCCACTCACACCCTTACATTGAAAAATAAACCATTGAGATTCAATATTTTATTAAAATATTTTTTTGATTTTCATGTAGTATGCAATTATAAAATGTTCATATCAAATTTTAGTAGTTTATTTTCTAAATAATTTATGTAATATTATAATACAATTTTATAAGATACTGTAAAATTAGTTAAGTTAGTTAACTATATTAAATGTATTGACTTTTCTAAACTATCATATTTAATGACGTACACTTAAATTATCTCTTAGTAGAACCCTTTACAATCAATAAAAAAATTTTAGAGAAAAGATTCTAAATTTGAGAGATAAAGTGAATTGAGGTAGTATTTCAAAACCAAATCTAACTCCTAACTAGTTTTTACATTGAGAACTAAAGTTAATATTAAATTTTAAACGTTCAATTTTTAATCCAAATGTGA